GTTTTTTTTAAAATAATTATTGTTAATTAAACAGAAAATTTTACTCTTTCCAATTCTTTCTTATTTTTTGTTTTTACAGGAATGCAAATTGTTTTATTTTCAGTTTTTTTTTTGTACTTCAGATATTGATGCAATCTTAAGTAGGCTATGGAAAAATACATGAATTTTGTAAAACAAACATGAATCGAAGCAAAATGGAAAGAAAAAAACAAAATAAAGTTTGAAACATTTGAAATTTTCGAATTTTTCCTTAATATCAACTTTACTAATTCACAGAAATTGTTTTTTTTTTTCAAATAATTAGTGTTAATTAAACATAAAATGTTACTTTTTCCAATTTTTTCTTATTTTTTTGTCTTTACAAACAAATTTACACATGACAAATTGAATATAGCGAATCGACAAAATTAAATTTAGTTAAACTACAAACGGTAGAAAATTGAATAACTTTGCCATTGAGTAATTCAGATTTGAGCAAACTCATGTTTTGCGCTAACTAAATCACGGACGAACATCCCTTACAACGCACGTATTAATCAGCGACATGAATAATGGAACAACGTGCGATCCGAAATTCCTACGTACATTTCCACGTCTGAAAACGATCTATTTTACAAATTTTTCTTCTATTTTCTTTCTTTACTTCTTCGTTTATGTGTGTGTGTAAAAAGTGATGGATTTAAGCAGGTTAGAAGATGTACGGACCATTTGCTATAAGCGCGCGCGTAAAATATCCGCCTGTTCTGTTCACTTCTTTTGCGCGTTTCGAAACAAATAAAATGTGATATTTTATTACGTTTTCAGCTGAAAATATATATATAAAAAAAAATGCCCGTCTGATTTATATCGCTCGATAGGGGACGATTAAAAGTAAAAATAATGCGAAAAAATGGTGAATTATTGCCGCAACAGTCATCCGTCTACGTCAGGTGCTCGAGGTATATATTACACGCGTTTCTTTTCTCTCATTTTCTTTTCTTCCGCTTCATAATTCTTATTAAATATATAATAATTCGTACATGCTTAGTTCTCACGTTACGTGAAATAGATTAAAAAGCGCATTTTGCCTTAGATTAGATTACTTACAACAATAGGAATTAGGAGGTGTTGTGTCAAAATTTACATATGCAACCAAATATACCTGTTTATTTGGTTGTCACGTTACCTAACTTTGCTAGAAGCGAAGTTAAAGACTCAATCAACGAATTCATATTTAAATATATTCAAATGTTTCTAGATTTTTGTTTCGATTCGTTTTTTTTATTATTATTTTCAACTTTAATAAATTTGTAGAAATAATAAGTTTCTATTTTTAAATTGGTAATAGAAATTTGTTAAGTTGGTACATTGCAGAACGAAATATGAATTTCATGAAACAAACTCGAATCAAAATGGAAAAGCGAAAAACAATGGAATATAACAAAATAATATGTCTAATTTAGTTTATTCATATGTTTTTAGCTTTCGTTTCTTTTTTCCATTAACTTTTGTTTCATTAACTTTTTTATATCATTATTTTTTTCAACATTCTTCTTTTTATAAATTTAGTTGAGATTTGAAGAAGTTGAGATTTTTTTTGTTATAATTAGAAATATTATTTTGTTGAATTTATAAAGTTGGTATTATGAAAAAATCGAATCAAAATGGAAACACTATATCTTAGAAACAATTGAAATTTGTTAAGAATTATAAGAGTTTCAGAAATTAATTTGTGAAGATTAAAAAAAAATGAATGAAAAGTAGATTGTTGAAAATGTTAGATATTGAATGTGGCGATATGAATAGAATAGAAAATATGTTGTGCTCTTCATCGATGTTTGAAAAAGATGAAATTGAGCCGCAGAGCGGAAATTAGGCGAGGATAGTAGAGTAGGCTTTGGAAACGAAACGCTGCAGATGCGGTGAAACAAAAGAAGGGTTGAAGGGTGCAGGGAGTGGAGTATATGAAGGGAGGCGGCGGTTTCGTTTCATGTAAATCCATTCGAGCACGTAAATATTTTACAGTGTGACCAACCGTGCACACGGATCTGGGGGGAGTAAAATAACGAACAGCAACAACAACAACAACAAAAAAAAAAGAACTAAATAGAATGATGAAATAAAAATAAAATAAAAGATGGACAGTGTTTATATTCAACAAATTTATTTACGGCCTCCGTTTTAATCCAACCCGTTTCGTGTCCGATCTTTCTCTTTTTCTCTCAGCATCCATTCAGTTTGGTGGACAAATTGGTGAGGCCGAAAGGACATTAGCGTCCATCTGAGCGTGTTGTCATGCAGCGCGACAAAGCCCTTCTTCCCCTCTGTCTCTGTGTGTGATTAAGTTGTCTCTCCAGTGGATTTACTGAAATATGAGAAATTGCTTTATCACATCTCTTCTCTGCAAACTCCTTTTCTCACCCATTTTTTATTATTATTATTTTCATCTCCGTTACGAAATCCAATTTTCATCGCATATCAAAAAAAGATCCAATTAATTAATTAAGTCAATTCTAATTAGATTATGTTCATTTTTTTTGTATCTAGTTGTCTTGTCTCTTACAGTTTTCGAATTTCTGTCGTCTCGAAGTTCTAAACTTCTTTTGTCATATCCGTTCGAGCAAGTTTCGAAGCGTTTCCTGCCAGAAATTTTCAAACAAATCCGCCTTTTGTTTGCTCAACTATAAATATATACTACGAGTCTCCACTTGAAAGAGAAAGAGAGAGAAAGAAAGAGAATTATATGGTAATTAAATTGAACGCGCAATGGGTCGATACATACAAAGTGGCGCAAAAGTAATGTCATAATTTGAATTGGCTGCCAATTTGTTATAAATGAAAAAAAAAGCTCTGTTTTCATCAAAAGTTTAAAATTAGTAACATTACTTGACAACTATAAATATATATATTTCGAGTCTCCACTTGAAAGAGCAAGAGAGGGAAAGAAAAAAAATTATATGGTAATTAAATTGAACGCACAATGGGTGATACATATATACAAGGTGGCGCAAAAGTAATGTCGTAATTTGAATTGGCTGCCATTTTGTTATAAATGAAAAAAAAAGAGATCTGTTTTCATCAAAAGTTTGTTCGAAAGTGTAAAATACAAATTGGCAATTTTTTTCTTCAATGTTTTTCTTTCAAGACTTACAAGATTCGTGGTTTGTTGTGGTAAACGTGAGATTTTAAATGAAAATTTTTCAAATAATCAGTAACAATAACTCCATGGCTTATTGACAACTAATTCCCTATATATCTACATCATAAATGTCAAAGTGACAGTGACATTTGACACCATCTGCAAAAATGACAGCCAATTCAAATTATGACATTACTTTTGCCCTCAATTGTAACCAACAAATTTCAAATGACTTTGACGTTTCACTTGTCACACGACTATTTTGTTTTGTTTTTATTCAACTGACGTTCCTTTTACGTCTAAAAGCAATGAAAAATGTAGTGTCTTCACTCTTCAGTGATTTTCTCATAAAGAATTGATCCAAAAGATGCATATGAAAGCTGGATGTTCATACATTTGGCTATAATTAATCAACTTCGATATTTTTTCCACTCATTTCCACTGAAATCACTTTACGATTCGACTTCCGTTTCCGGATTTCTTCCTTTTTCGTTTATCTCTCTAGTTTTTTTTTTTCTTTATCGAATTCAGTTTTCTAGTCGGTTTTTCTCTTCCAATTTTCTTCTATTTCCTTTTTATTTTGGAGGGTGGAAAAGTAGAAATGAGAGAAAGAGGTGAGGGTGAAAGGGTTGGTTGGCGGCCGGCGGCGAGAACGAATTAAATTGGCGCAGAGCCCATTACGAATTTACCGACGCCATTTAAAAACTCAAATATTACAAAGAAGAGAAAAATGAAACAAAATACATTACAAAAAGTAAAGAAATGAAAGAGAGAGAAGAGAGAAAAGAAGATGTGCCGCATTACGAAATTGCATTCCGGACAAAATGTAAAATGACATTTAATAACTGCTGTGAAATTAATCAAATAAATTGTATGCGGGTCCGAGTCGTAGCGGGGAATAATTTGATAATGTTGGTAATGCTAGTTACTCTCTTTTTTTTTATTATATAAGTTTAGGTTTTGTTTCTGATGCAGTTATGCAACGCAACATGCAATAACGCCATTATTAATCGTTGTTTTGTTTTTGTTGCATAACCAATGGTTAATGTTGTTACTTGTCAAGTAAACTCGACAAAAATTACTTTGTGTATTTGACAAAATATTTGCTGCAAGTATTTCAACAAGTAAATTAAAAAAAATACAGATTCCTATTTGAAAATTTTATTTATGTGCTGTTTCTTCACTTTCAATTTTTTAAACAAATATCGCAAAAATTTGATATATAAATAAATAAATAAATTCCATAAGCAACTATAGAAAGTTTGTTTAATGTACCAATTATTATAAATGTTGCATTAAATAAACATTGAGCGAAAATCCGGTTAACACCTAAAAAAAGATTACCATAAATTTTGTGAAAACTTTCTTCTTTCTTCATTCATACATTTATATCCATTAAAGTCACCAAATTTATTAAGAAATAATGTCCTATCAATTCCGAATTCGGAAACTGGATCCGTCGCGACTTTCACTTTTTTTCTAAATTTGTTGTTTTGTTTTCGTTGGAGAGTGAAAATTGAGGAGGAGGCCCAGCCCACCCAAAAAGAAAGTTACCTTATCAATTAGGAACGATGTAGTAGGCTAATTCAATTGTCACGTTGTTATTCTGTTTATATAACAACATTTATTAATAGTAGGCTAGATTTCAATTGTTCCTTATGTGTTTTTGTTTATGTATTATATAACAAAAACGTTAGTTGGCGTTGATTCAATAATTTTCAATTGTTTTTTTTTGTTTTTTTATAAATGTATATAAGAATGTGTTTATGTAAAACAATTTAGTATTATATAAAAAAAAAATATCGATTTTATTTATCAAAAGTTTCAACAACAAAAACGTAATTACATTTTAAGACTAGATAATAAAATTAACGATGATGGCGATGTTTGTTTGCTCTTATGTAACGAAATGTAAATGAGTTTATGGTTTTTTTTTGTTTGTTTGTTTTGATGTGTGAAAGAGAAATTTGATGAAATGATTATTGTTTGATGGATTTAGTATTTGTATCCTCCGTTCGAGTCGTAGGATTGTCCGGCGGCGTAGACGCTGCTGGATGGGAAAGTCTTGGTGGAGGAGTAAGATCCGCTTCCGCTGAAGCTGGAGGTGCCGGTGCCGCTGGAGAAGCTCGGAGAGTATTTGCCGGCGTTCAATGAGGAGCCGAGAGATAGTTTCGATGGGTATCCGAAGGAGGAACCGTATCCTGAGGCGTATCCTGAGCCTCCCAGAGAGGAAGAATGACCTCCGAATGAGTTGCTTCCCAAAGAGTGTCCACCGAAGGAGCTGCTACCTCCGAAACCAGCGCCCAAAGAGTGTCCATCGAATCCTCCGAAGGAGCTGCTGCTGCCTCCCAGAGAGTGTCCTCCGAATCCACCGCTCAAAGATTGACTTCCAAATCCGCTGCTCAAAGAGTGTCCTCCAAATCCACCGCTCAGAGATTGTCCTCCGAATCCGCCTTCGAAAGAGTGTCCTCCGTATCCGCCGCTCAAGGATTGTCCTCCGAATCCGCCGAAAGAGCTGCCTCCGTTCAAAGATTGACCTCCGAATCCTCCGGAGAAACTACCGTGGCTTTGTACCTTGACTGGGACTGGGATTTCGACGCGTACTGGAACCTTGACTGGGTAGGGTTGCTTCACTTCGACTGGGTACGGTCTTGGTACTGGTACTCCTACTGGGTGTGGTACTTTCACGTAGACTGGGCTTGGAACTGGGACAGGTACTTTACGGGTTACGTGAACTGGGTACGGTCTGGCGACTGGGACTGGGACAGGTTTCAGGACCTCAACTGGGACGGGACGTGGGACGGCAACCGGATGTGGGACGGAGACTGGGACAGGAACTGGACGATTGATGGTCACTGGGTACGGCTGTGGCACGGAGATCGGTACTTGCTGGGTGATGTGAGAGACGGATTGGGTGTTTCCGCCGTAACCGGAACCGGATCCAATTGAGCCGGAAGATCCGAAAGATCCAATAGAGCCGGAAGAGCCGAAAGATCCAAGAGAGCCGGAAGATCCAAGAGAGCCGGAAGAGCCGAAAGATCCAAGAGAGCCGGAAGAGCCGAAAGATCCAAGAGAGCCGGAAGATCCGAAAGAGCCGGAAGATCCGTATCCTTCAAGGGAAGCTCCGGATCCGTAACCGCCGATGGAACCGGAAGAACCGAAAGATCCATGAGAGCCGGAAGATCCAATAGAACCGGAAGATCCGTATCCTTCAAGGGAAGCTCCGATCCATAACCTCCGATGGAACCGGAAGATCCGAAAGATCCATGAGAGCCGGAAGATCCAATAGAACCGGAAGATCCGTATCCTTCAAGGGAAGCTCCGGATCCGTAACCTCCGATGGAACCGGAAGATCCGAAAGATCCATGAGAGCCGGAAGATCCAATAGAACCGGAAGATCCGTATCCTTCAAGGGAAGCTCCAGATCCATAACCTCCGATGGAACCGGAAGATCCGAAAGATCCATGAGAGCCGGAAGATCCGATGGAACCGGAAGATCCGTATCCTTCAAGGGAAGCTCCAGATCCATAACCTCCGATGGAAGATCCGAAGGATTCGATGGAACCATGAGAGTCGAGGGATCCGGCGGAAGCTCCGAAGGAACCGGAAGATCCAAAAGATCCGGAAGAACTGTAAGAATCTGAAGCTCCTGCAGATCCCAATCCCAAACCGGTCTTGTATCCGTGTCCCGATTCCAAACCTCCAAGAGAAGAACCCTTCAGAGTATCGGCGACGTTAACGTCGGTGTACTTGGTGGATCCTCCAAGACCGACCCATCCCGAAGAAGATGATGATGAAGAAGATGCGTATCCGCCGGAAGCGGAAGCTCCGTATCCGGATGAATAAGATGATTGGATTGGTGGTGAAATGTTTCCTTGAAGCACTCCACAGCTAGCAATAGCTACCCAGGCTGCTAATACCTAAAAGCACAAACACACAAATTAATTAATTAACTTAATACCAATTAGTATATCGTTTGGTTTTGCAACGTACCACCAAAATCTTCATGATTCTCTTGTGATGATGATGATGTTGGTTGTTCTTTGCGCGAATGGAGCTGAGCGAATGATGTCCTTCTTCGATCCGGCACTCTCTTTTATACGACACAAACACACACACACGCATCGACAACACTCAACACTACTTTCACGTAACGATGATCCGGTGAATCCGGTTGCCCGAATAACGCTCGCATTTCGATCGGATCCACGAAAAATAATATAAAAAAAATGAACTTTTACTTGCGATTTCCAAAAAACAATTCCGACTTGAGAGAAGAACCATAGTTTGTGTGTACAATTTTCCTCTCTTCAGCTTGAATTCAATCTTTCATACTACATATTAAGTAGATGATTCAATTCAATAGCGATAATTAATAATTACTAATAGATAGAGATCAAGAAAATTTACCAATTGTTTCAATAGATCTAAATTATCTTAAATACTCTAGAAACAAGAGTTTTTTTTTTTACTAAATTTGGTGATTTTTGTACCATAAATGTGCCCAAATTATGCAATCAAAATAAGTTGTTTTCTTTCCTAACAATTCTATATTTCTTTAATTAATTAATTAATTAGTTTCCTATAGTCTGAAATTAGAATGTTATATTTCGAAATTATTGCAATTTAGAGAAGAAAAAAATAAACGTTCTCTTATATTTATATTCAATTATTTGTCTTACAAATCGATATTCAATAATTAATTTCTCTTTTGTTTCTTGAATCCAAAAATGACATTTTAGACGTCTTTTGTTTCTTGACTCTAACACAATTGACACAAACACAATTTAAACCAAAAAAAAACCATAAGTTTTAGAAAATTAATTAATTATCCTGATAATTAATTTTATTAAAAAATTCCTTAAATTTTGCATTTAACATGAGATTCTTTACGAATTTCATAAATAAATTAAAAATTTTCTATAATAAATTTTATTCAATTCCTTCACAAAATATGTAAAAAAAAATCATGTTTGAAATCACTATAGAAACGAATCAGAAGACTCAAGCGAGCACGAGCGTGTGTTGGTATATTTGTAAAATAAATAATGTATCTGAGACGAGAATTGGAAAGCTGCTCGAAGAATTTGAATAATTTTTAGTGCAGATTAAATGTATTTTGAATTCGTGTTTTTTAATAAAACTCGACAATTTTTAAATAATCTGCAGTTCCTATTGTTCAATTCCATTGTCTTCAATTGTTTACTACTTAAACGAATAGTAAGGCGTCTTTAGCAACGTAAACAATTTCCTTAGCAACAATGTGTTACCATCAACAACCATAAGACAATTTTGTAAAATTGCTAAATCAACCTTAGCAACAAAAACAATTTCCTTAGCAACAATGTATTACAATCAACAATCATAAGACAATTTTGTTAAGTTGCTAAATCAACCTTAGCAACATAAACAATTTCCTTAGCAACAATGTATCACCATCAACAACCATAAGACAATTTTGTTAAGTTGCTAAATCAACCTTAGCAACAAAAACAATTTCCTTAGCAACAATGTATTACAATCAACAACCATAAGACAATTTTGTAAAATTGCTAAATCAACCTTAGCAACATAAACAATTTCCTTAGCAACAATATATGGAATTTCTAAATAATGGTGTCATTAGCAACAGAAGATCGTTGTTAGCAACTAATATCAATTGTTTATAAAGAGTGACAGTTGAACAATAACAAGATATTAAAGCGTTCTTAGCAACTAATGTTAATTGACTATAAGAAGTGACAGTTGATTGATAAAACCCAAAAGACAACTTGATTTTTTTTTAAATTAAATAGATTGGGCAAGAATTATTACGAAATTGGGCTATCATATAAGAAATAGAAGAAAACAAACAATAAAGGAGTTGAAAAGAAAGTTATAAATGCGAAACAATTTGTCACATGTCTCGAATGATCTATATGCAAGTTTTGCAATTGTTTCATTTATCAATTTTTTTGTTGTTATTGTTTTATTATCATTTGTTTAAATGGAAAAAAAAAGTACGTTTTGTTCAAAAATTGATTTTCCTTGGAAACAATTCAATAAATTTTCATGTGATAATTTCGTTAATATTACGAAACGCGTTGCGGTTGAGTCAGAAAGGCTTTACGCAATATCAATATGAAATTAAAAAGAGTGATGTTTAATTTTCGGTCTCGCGAACAAGAAATAAATAAATCTTCGGGTGACCTTTTTTCTTTTTCTCTTCTCTTGGCAGAAAGAAGTTTTCTTTGTCGCGGTGTACATGCAAATAAATCAAAGAAAAAAAACGAGTCTCTCTCTCCTGCTGCAACTTCTTCATAATTTTCTTCTCTTACACAACACGTTTTCTTTCCACTTCTTCTCCATCATCATGATCATCCACCTCCAGCCGTCGCCTTCTTTGCAAACGCGCTCCTTTTTTCCGCGTATTAAACAAGTTTTAATCAAAACTGCACACACACACACACACAACGAACGAGCGAACGATTTTAGCCAACATAAATTTGCATGTCGACGCCAAAACCAACCCCTCACAGTGCGCATATTTTAATCACGACAAGAAGTAAAGTTTTTTTTTCTTCTCTCAAAGTTCAACTTTCAACAAAATTAATTGAGAGTTTAAATTTTACGAAACATAACTTATTGAACAAGTTGTCATTATTGTTAAGTTGTGCAATTCTAATAAACGTGTTCGGATTTTGTAAATTGCAAATTTTAGAAACGTTTTGGCCCAGTTTTTTTTTTCCGGTAGAAATTCGCTACAATTCTTTTCAAATCAAAAGAGAAACATATATATTATAAATAAACATAAACGAGATTAAGTGTGAAAGAGAGAGAATTTCGACCACGCCAAAAAATCCTTTCCAAATTGTTTATTAACATCGAATTTGCGAATACGTTCACCCGTAATTAAATTTCGCTTTTCTCAATTCGTGATCATGAACATCGCGTAATTATACGAAAATTTGCTCGAATTGACCTCAAAAATGACATTTCTTAGTAGTAAAATAATTTATTTGTCGAATAATCAAGTGTTCTTAATTGTGACATTTGTTTCTTGACTCCAAATTGACATTTCATACTTGTAATTTGTCAAAGAATCAATTATTCTTAATTGTGTCCATTATGACTCTTGACGTTTCTTATATTTATAAGAAAGTGTTGTTCATATTTTGACGTAACGCAATTGATCTGTCAAACAATCAGCTGTTTTTAATTACGTCATTTGTTTTAAGAAGTAGCGTCCTTAGCAATCGTTTCTTGACTCCAAATTGACATTTCATACTTGTAATTTGTCAAAGAATCAACTATTCTTAATTGTGTCTATTTTCTTCTTGACTCTAAATTGACGTTTCTTATATTTATAAGAAAGTGATGTGTTTAATTTTGTCTTCAGTTTCTGGAATCCAAATTGACATTTCATATTTTGACGTAACGCAATTGATCTGTCAAATAATCAGCTGTTTTTAATTACGTCATTTGTTTTAAGAAGTAGCGTCCTTAGCAACCACATAATAATCAACTTGGCAGCTGTAATTTGGTTCGTATCAATTTTAGATATAATAAAAAAAAATGAGATGAAACAAAGTATGGATTCGAGTTATGTATTTAAACGCTAACTAGTTTCTGAGAGACCAATATTCGTTATTTTCTATTTTGTATTCCGGCGCGTAATGCATTATGCAAAATCCGTTTTTGAAACGTTCGTCGAGTCGTTGTATGATCTCATTGGGGAATTGCCACCGGAATCGCATTTTCTCTCAGTCGAAAACAATAAATGTCTTAAATCAATTGCATCAATTCACATTTCTTTTTAAATAAAATCGTTGAATTTAAGATTATTTTTTTCATTAAAAGTTAATAGTTGACAATTAAAACGTCAAATTTAACATTGTGACAGTTGAATGATGAGTTGACAATTAGTACGTTAAATCAGTTGTCTATAAATGTCAATTGAAACGTCAAATTGGGTCACAATGTTCAAATCAGACTATTGAAGTTTGATAATTGAAGAATACATTGACAATTAAAACGTGAAATTGAACATCGTGACAATCGAATGATGAGTTGGCAATTAGTACGTTAAATCAGTTGTCTATAAATGTCAAATGTCAATTAAAACGTCAAATTGTGTCACGATGTTCAAATCAGACTATTAAAGTTTGATAATTGAAGAATGCATTGACAATTAAAACGTCAAATTGAACATTGTGACAGTTGAATGATGAGTTTAATAATTAGTACGTTAAATCAGTTGTCTATAAATGTCAAATGTCAATTTAAACGTCAAATTGTGTCACGATGTTCAAATCAGACTATTTAAGTTTGATAATTGAAGAATGCATTGACAATTAAAACGTCAAGTTGAACATCGTGACAGTTGGTTGATAAGTTGACAATTAGTACGTTAAATCAGTTGTCTATAAATGTCAAATGTCAATTAAAACGTCAAATTGTGTCACAATGTTCAAATTAGACTATTGAAGTTTGATAATTGAAGAATGCATTGACAATTAAAACGTCAAATTGAATATTGTGACAGTTGGATGATGAGTTGACAATTAGTACGTTAAATCAGTTGTGTATAAATGTCATATGTCTATAAATGTCAATTAAAACGTCAAATTGTGTCACGATGTTCAAATCAGACTATTGAAGTTTGATAATTTAAGAATGCATTGACAATTAAAACGTCAAATTCTGTATGGTGATGGAGTCATTATATAATAGTGAAATTTCATATGGGAAAATGGGAAACATGTATAAATGGTAAAATCACTTGAGGTTATATTTTTTGTGCTGTCTCCAAGTATTTCTGGGACGTATTGAGAAATTATGTGGTTTTATAGCCGGGATTTAAAGATAAGCTCTTTGGGGTTTAGCAGGGATTACTTGTTAAGTATGGGACTATTAAGAAGAATCGTGCAGAGATTCGCACCTATTTCGCACTTTTTTTTCGTTATTTCCTCCTGAACGCAAAGATAAAAAATCGTTATTTCACAAAGATTTTTCATCGATAATTTAAGAAAACTTGCATTTTATTATAATAACAACATTAACGTATTGTTAAATTGAATCTCAATAAGTAATTGATCAAATCATAACAATTCAAGTATACTAATATTAAATTACCTAACATTTG